ACTATATAATTTTCTGTACAATAAAAAAAATCCACTCCGCAAGCTGACAGCCGAGCTACATCTTGTTTGCTCTTTGGTCTGACCCTAACGGCCCAATAGCGGGTGAGTTTTCGATTTACAATTCTCAGGATCAACAATAAATATGATACAGTAACCATCAAGAATGACGACAATGTCTTTGCCAAGGGGCTTGGGAGGCGTCGATCTGGGCCGAGCCAGGGTGGAAGATATCACAACGTCCGGGCGAGTCGGACAGAGTCGAACCAAGGGGTGGATCCAGGTGATCCGGGGGGGAAAGGGGGACGGGGGGACCAATCCGAGCAAGCACATCGTGCTACCCTGGTCGTGGCGAGGGGTTCTGCAGAGTGAGACGGCATGGTGCCGGCCCGGTACGCCCGCACATCCAAGGCGGTGCACCGGGTGCACCTAGGTGGCGTTCCCAGGGGCGTTCCGACGTCCAGTCGCTCCGCAGTCGCCACGTCCAGGCCTCGAGCGCGGCCCTACAGGAATCTCTTTACGAGTCCCGGCAGGACGGCGCGCGAGGGCGAGCACGAGGCTTGTTCTCGTTTCATTCGAGCTGTTCGAGGAAGTTGGGTGACTTGAAGTACTCGGGGACGGGGTCGTCCATCCGCGAGATGACCTTGTAGATCGACTTCTTCCACGACGGCTCGGAGTCCTTGCCCGTCTGGATGGCCTTGTAGAACTCCTTGAGCGTCTGCTCCACGACGTACCGGAAGTTTTGCGGCACCTGGACAAAGAGAAACAAGTCGGCGGTTAGATAGGGCGGGTCTACAGGACGCCCGGCGGGTAGGCAACCCAACGCGCGCGGCCGCGGGGTGTGCTGCCAAGCCAAGGGTGCGGCGCTTACCTCGATGTGGTTGTTGCGGTTGTAGTGCAGGTTCAGCACCCTGTAGATCTCGCTGTCGGCCAGGACCCTGAGGTCCTCGGGCGCCTTGATGCCCTCTCCGGCCGCCTGGCGCGCGTACTTCTCCATCTGGATGTAGTAGAACTCCCTGCGAACAAACAGAACGTCACGTTTAGTCGTCGGGTATAAGGCAAAGGCAGTACTACTACTAAGCGGGAAAATTCGCATCCACAGAGCCAGTGTGCAGTCCCCCCCCCTTCCCCCTCCCCCTTCCCTTCGGGGACTTTAGGAAGGGATTATTCGATTTCAATAATCCGCTGGTCAATTAGCTCTCAGTTCGCAAAGCCCGCGGAACGCCGCCGCTGCCGCCCTGCTGCTGCTGCCTGGCAAAAAGGCGCGGGGCGAAGAAGAAAGATGAAGGAGTTGGCGACAAGATTAACTCAACCGCTGCAGGGCGAGGGGAAGGGGAGGAGGGGGAGGCAGGCAGGCGACACCGCGCACCACCATCCCCCAGCGCTCTCCGCGGAGGAAAGGGGGACTTGTTTTCATTTCCAGCATTTTATTCACCTCGCGGTCGTGTCGCGATGCAGACGGTATGGTGTTATTGCCATGGTAATTACGTTCCGTTATTCGCTCGGCTGGTATGAAACAGGAGCAGAGAGAGAGGAGGCCTCCTGCGTGGCGGGGGCGCCCGGGGAAGAGCAGGAGCAGCGGGACTCGAGGGCCAATGTGATTGTCACCTCAGGCGTGCCTGCCACAGCAGGAGGAGGACGTATCGACTGCACCACAGGCAGGCAGGCGCTGGACCGAAGTGAGGCTGTGGCTGCGGCGCGGGAGGGAGCAGGCGACGCACTCGACTCGACTCGCGCTCACGGGCGCGCCCCTTGCACGGCCGTCTCCTCGCACTGATAGCGGTGGTGGCGACATAACGATGGCGCGCGCGCACACACCATCGAGTGCCAATTAATGGCACACGGAGCCAAACAATAAGGTGGTGCCCGCGGGGGGCACGAGTGGCAGGCAGGCAGGCAGCCGAGGGCGTGGCGTCACACCGGAGGCCCTCGAAATTTGTAGAGTAGTCCTAGCAGCAGCGGGATTGACTGGATATCATCTTTCTCTCTCTCTCTCTCACTCTCTCTGCTTCCCTTATGGGGGGAAAGGGTAGGAAGGAGGAGGGGCGAGAGGGGGTAGGCTCATGAAATCAGCCAGGTCAGGGCCGTTGCGCTGCTGTGTTGGTTTGATCGCTACATTGGCGCCTTCAACAGCAAGAGCAAGGCATAGCGAGAGCAGAGCGAAGCGAACGGCTTGAGCGACAAGTCATGTGTGTGTGTGTTTGTGTGTGCGTGTGTCTGCCGAGTGTCATTACAAGTCGCGGGGCCGTACTGCAGGGATGTGATATTGGGTGGCTGCCGAGTGGCGCAATGCACTCGATGGTGACGCTCGCCTCTCCCAGCGGAGCAGGGCGGAGCCACCAGCCACCCTACCTGTCTGTACTACTCATCTCAGAGGGCCACGAGAGCGCCATGTGCTCTCTCTCACACACTCGGTCTCTCTCTCTCACTCGTCACACGGGGATGAGGAAAAGAACACACACAGTCACAGCAGACTCACGGTATACACGAGTGTCACCGTGCAGCCAGAAAAGCCTAGCGCGCGCAGCGTCAAAACCCCGCGCGCGCGCCGCTCCCAGTCCCGAGTTATTCTCGTTTTGGCGCGAAAGTGCGTTATGTGTGTGTACTGCGCGTAGTGTGCTGTGCACGGAGGCCGTGCTGCAGCTGTTGGGAAACACACGGAGCAGCAGCGTCGTGTGATCCGTGGAGCTCTCTCTCTCAACGGCTCGGCGGCGTCGCCTATTCATACTATACCGCGGTGTGGGCCGCGCGGCCGGTACGGTACGGGGCGAGGACGACGGCGAGGCGGGTCTTGAAGGGGGGAGCGAAGCAGCAGTGGCAAGGGGGAGGAGGGGACCCACACGTCTTGTAAGGCGACTTCCAAGACGGGGGACTTCTCGCTTCTCTCGCTCTCCGGCAGCAGCAAGGAGGAGTCGACTCGAACAGGGGACCGCGCGCACCCTTCAATAGAGCGACACACACACACACACACACTCACACACACCTGGTCCGGCCGGTATAGCTGAAGGGATGGTGGTAGGGCAAGGGGGTGGGACGGGGTTGAGGGCGGGGGGGATAAGAAAAGGTAAAGAGCACCACCGCACCGCGTGACTCGCCGTGACTTTGCTTCCGGCCGGGGCGAGTAGGATATATTCAACTGAAGGGAGGAGAGGGGTGAGGCGACCTCGACCACGGCGACGACCTTCTTGGACGACTTGGCAGCATGGCACAAGAAGGAGCGGGGACCGCGTACAAGAATTGTTGCTGCTGCTGAGCTGGCCAGTACGATGGCCGGTCGTCGATCATGACCAGGACCATCAGCAGCAGCAGCAGCAGCAGCAGCAGCAGCAGCAGCGTCGCCGGCGCCGTGCGCTCGGGGGGTTTCACCTCACTATCGCCGAGGCGGTGCGCTCGACCTACATTCACAGGGACCGTCGGTCGTCCCCCGTCACCACGACGACGCTGGTCGTCGACTCGTGTCGCGTGGGGACGACGATATGCGGGCGCGCGCCGCACTCGCTCTCGCAGTCCGCGCCTCCTACAACACGACCGATCTGTCCCTCTCTATCTCCATACACACCACACCACGCAGCGTGCTATTCGCGACGTGCTAAAGCTGGCTGGGCTGGGGCCGGGGCTTTAAACAGGCGACGGTTCTGCCACTAGTTCATATAGTAGGGCAGCGGCAGCATAGGAGTGGGCAGCGGCTAAAGTCGCGCGCCGGACTATTAGCGGCGCTACCACTCACCACTATAATAGCGAGACCAGCTACACGATACGCCAACGCAGTGATTCTTCCGGACAGAGTTGTCAACGGAAGCGGAAACTGGGGGGTGGGGGGGTTGGGGGGTGACCACAGGCAGACCCCCCGGCACTGCTGCTGCTGCCAACTCCTTTCCTTCGCTCCGCCCCAGTTGTTCTCGATCGGACGCATAAGGTAGCGACAGCGAGCGTGTCCCTCCCCTCCCCCCTTTCCCCCTCTGATAGCCGCAGCAAGGCACCTGCCCTGGCCCCTCACACCCACACCACCACCGAGACCGAGGAGCAGCTGGACAGGGCAGAGAGGGGGGGGGGGGCTCACACATACCTAGGCCTGTCCCGCACCGTCAGGCCGGCACAGGAGGCAGCTGCCGCGAGCAACAGCTGCCCTTTAAACCACACACTCACACACATGCGACCTCCCGCACGCGCGCGGGCACACACACACACGGCGAGGACGGTATTGTCCGGGGCATTTAACACAAGACGCTTGCACGTGGACCGTCTTGGGGTGGGTGAGGAAGGCGGCGGGTGACCTCCCCCCCCCCTCTCCTCATCGGACACGCCCCTTCCCTCCGGCGACGACGGGCTGCGCACCCTTTTCAACGAGACATGCCACTAGGTCCCTTTAAATTTGGCGCGTGATGCACTCCCTGAACTTTTTTGGGGGGGCTTTTCCGCAGAAGAGTGCTGAACTTTACAGGCAGGGGACACATTGGCCTTTTTTCCCCCTTACTTCGAGCGGTGTTTTCCCCTTCCCTGCGGCATATATACCCGATGTGGGTCTCCCCCCTCTCCACCCCCTCCTCGCCCCCCCGCAGGGCATCGCCTTCAGTCGTCCCCGAAACCCTCATGGCGCGCCGTTCGGCCTGTGCCAAGTATCGCGACATTCATACGGGAGAACGGGACTCTACTTGGGCCAGACAGACGGACAGAGAGACGGGCGGGCAATATAGCGCGGCCCTGCTAAAGAACCCCGCGACCATGACGACTCGGCGGCGGCGACGACGCGGGAGGGATCCATAAAAATCGAAGAAAATATAAAGTGAGAGGGGAGAAAGAAAGAGAGCGAAAGAGACTAGAGAGACGGATGAAGTGGAGCTGGTGGCGGCTGGAAGCTCCAGAATGCAGTAGCAGCGGGGGCTGCTGGAGCTGGGGCGGTGAGGACCCTCGGCGGGGGTAGCCAAGTGCTGCTATGGTGTGGGGGGGGGGCGGTGAGAGAGGGAGAGAGAGAGAGGTGTTAAGGCTGTAATTATAAAGTTGTCCGCGATGCTGCTGGCCCGCCCGGACCGGCGTAAGACATTCGGGGGTGTGGAGTAAGGGGGCAAGGGGGAGGTGGGGGAAAGAGGGGGTGTTAACGAGGGCGGCCAGCGGTGCCCTATCTCCATCGCAGTCTCATATCTCACCGAGAGGGAGGGAGAGAGAGCGAGACGCCTCTCCACCAAGACGGAAGGCGGAAGGGGCGGCACTACACTAAGGCCACGCCACGCCCCGCCAAGGTGTTCGGTTCCCTGAGCTGATCACAAGACGCCCGAGCAGGAGTAGCACGGTGGCAGCACGGCGGGCGCAGTCCGACTCAAACTTTACTACGAAACAGTAGCGGCGGGGCAGGGCGCGGTGGCGGCAGCAGTCGGCGGCGGGGGCGGGGCGGCGCGAGTTTGTGGGGCAAAACTTGCGAGGACGCAGAGGACGCGCAGCGGAGGGCGCGCGGGGCGGGGCGGGGGCAGCGGGACCCTCCCGCACCTTCAATGACCCCGCGCGCCTCCGACGCCCTGACCTCGCTGTGCGTGTGTTTGCCCGTACAGTAACGACTGCCAGCCACGCGGCTGCACCGTCAAATTAACCCGTTCCTTTCTTCCGAATAGAAGCGTAGCAACGACGCTCTCTCTTTCTCTCTCTCTGCGCTGTCTCTCTACCACAGAAAGAGAGACAGAGAGGGGGTACGCCGGTGGGAGGCACGGAAAAGTACAACACACGACGCTGTCGACGACGACGACGCCGCAAAGAGCTGATGAATGTAAAAAGAAGCGAGTTACAAAACCAGCAGCAGCTCCAGCAGCAGCCCCCTCCCCAGCGGCACCGCCGCCACCGTGTACGCCTTGCGAGCCGCGCTAATTAGAGACCATGTCATAAGTAAGTAATGTTAATTGTCCCTTGTCTCTCGCGACTTAGTCTCCCCGCTGCCCCGCCCCGCCCGGAACGCTACCCCTTCCCCTGTCACCTCCCCCCTCCACCCTCTCCCTTTGCCCCGCGCTGCCCTCGAGACGCGACTACTTGCCCGTCCGATAAGTCGATTATGCATTTCTTTGCAGCTTCTTTGGGCAGCCGGGCTGGAAAACTTGTCTTCCGGGTAATTACTGCCCAGGAGCCGAGGGATGGGGTGGTGGTCCTCTGGTTTTGTTGCCGAGATTGGCATCCGTCTGAGGGGCTTGGGGTGCTGCTTCTGCAGCTCGTCTTGGCCACCACCACCACCGCGCGGAAAGCCAGACCCGCGCCGGACGGACGGACTTACCAGTTTCGGACGCAAAAAAAAAAAGCACTTTTAATTGGCCTTGCTCCGGGGAAGAGATTGGGAAGGAAAGGGTATGGCAACGGGGGAAGGGAGCAGGGGGCTGGGGACGCAAACAGAGCAGGCGGAGGGGGTGGCGGGGCGGGGCGGGGGCAGTTCACTTCAAAACTCCAAACAATGCGAAAGCTACTTGGAAATTGAGGGTAGAGGGAGCAGCAGCAGCGGCGGCAATAGCAGTGTTAGTCAGGAGGGAAGTCGGCCAAGCTGCTGCTGCTGCTGCCGCGGCGAAGGAGGAGAAAGTTAGGTAGCAGGCATGAGTGTCGGGGGCGGGCCGGGGGCGGCGAGCTGCGGGGGGCTGGCGGCGGTCGGGGCGGCGGCGGCTCCAAATGCGTGGCGCGCACGCGACGCGCGAGTGTGTCTTTCAACTCCATTCCGCCTGCCTGTCCAGTCCACGCAAATAACAATCCAAGGGCAGCTCGGCAGCTCGGCCTAATAGGGCGCCCCCAGCCGCGGCCCCCAAGGTAGCCCTTCATACGCGGCCAGCCGGCCACAGGAGCAGTTGGAGCGCAAAATTTTTAAGGCCCCCGGTGGCGTTAAGACGCTAGGAGGAAGGAGCTGCAAGGGGTGGGGTTGGGGGGGGGGGGCTCCGTAGGGTGCTGCACACCGGGGGGGCCACCACCCTGGCCGCTTTGGCCGCCCTCCTCCTCCTGGCCGGCGTGCCCCTGGTTAATGGCTCTTGCCACACACTTGGAGTTACCAACAACTCGAGGCATTACCCCGAGTGCGCCTCGCCCCGCCCCGCCCCGCCACCTCCTCGGCCCGGGCCGCCCGTGCCAAGTGGCCGCACCCTGATAAGCCCTGCCACAGGCCCAGATTTGAAACGCCCCGCCACGCCACGCCACGCCAACCCCTCACGTGGCCTTCAAGTTGCCCGGGCGCGCCGAGGGCGAAACTTGTTGGCGGATGAGAACTTACCCCGCCGCCGGGTAGTAATAGGTACGGACACGGGACGGTCCCGCCGCGCACGCCGCGCGTGACTATCAGGACAAGATTACCGTCACCGGTAGACCTCCACCACCGCGGCTGACCAGCGCCGCCGGCGCGATGAGGCTCCGTGTGTCTTTTATTTTGTCATTTTCCCCCGCCTCATCACCCTTTTATTTTTGTATTTGTTTTATTTTTTTTGTCGGTGCCCTCTAATGACACCCGCGAGAGGCGCACATGGCGCCGTGGCGCCGCCGCTGCTGGTCAGACGCGCGCGGTGCGGCGCCCGCCGTCACCTCGCGTGTGCCTCGCGGACCTGGGCCGGCCCGGCCCCGGGGGCGGACACTAAGGAAATGGCCCGTTTCCGTCCGGAACTTGGCACGCGAGGTGAGAAGTAGTGGTGGCGGCGCCAGAGGCGCGCGCGGGCCGGGCGCCGCCCCCGCCGCCACCACCGCCACCAAGTAGTCGCCGCGCCTGCTGTCCTTATCGTCCACCCCCCCGCACCGCCCGCAGTAACAACTCATTTACACGCAAAACTATTAAGGAGCAACAGTACCATTAAGGTCGCCCTGCTGCGCGCCTCGGCCCCGCCACGCACGGCCACGCCGCGGCTGGACTTCCCTCATACCATAAATCGAGCAGGGCCGGCCGCCCGGCGTAGGCTCCGCGTCGGCGACAGTCGCAGTGACAGTGTCACGGCCGCAGTCACATTAGCAGCCCTTCAAACGGTGGCGCGGCGACTTGGCCCGGCAAAAGGATGTTTATTGGCAAAAAAATTATAAATACGTACACAAATATTGAAAATAGATCTCAGGTTTGTGAAAAATTGAAAAGAAGGGTGTGCGTAGCATCGCTGCTCCGCTGTCCAGCTGCTCGTGTCGTATGGACGTGGCACATGGCGCACCAGACGCTCCCCCGCCCCCGCGCCGCGCGCCGCGCCTCACCTGGCGCTATCTCTGGCAGAACATCGGGAGGGGGAGGAGGAGGCCGAAGGACAGCGCAGGGAGGGAGCGAGGGTGACCAAAAGCAAAGCGCCAGCCGGACGGACTCTATGGATATATAAAACGGGAATGATAAAATAATTATGAGGAGGCGGTGGTGGCGGCGGCGGTGGTCAGCCGAGGCGGAGGCTCGGGGGGCGGCGCGGGGGCGGCGCCGGGCCGTATTGCGGGGGCGGGGCTATTAGACGCTATGGACAGCGGCGGCCCAGGCCTCGGGCCCACCGGGCCGGCCAGCACCACGCGACGCCAGGGGGCGGGCGATACACCTCGTGATAGGGGCTTATTTCCTTGAAAGGCACAGTCACACCAACACACGCACACACACACACGCGGGCGCGCTCAGTCACAACACACGCACCGCCCCACACCGCGCGGGGCCAAAGATACCTACTTGTGACAAGTGTGCGGGTGGACTTGTGGGCTCTGATATATAGCGCTGCTGCTACTGCTGCCCCGTTCTGCTCTGCTCTCCCACATGCATGCACGCGGCCTGCTTACGGCATCAGCGTCATCCTCCTACTGACCAGCTGTCGCCCCAGCTTGCAACGCGGGGGTTAAAATTATATTCTCCATGCGACAGAGCGGTTGTGTGTGTGTCTGTGTGTGTGGCTGATTGTGGTGACGGTGGTGGTGGTGGAAGAGGAGGAGGTGAGGGAGGAGGAGGACATACTCGCACGGCGTGGCGCGGCGCGGCCGGCGAAAGATTGAGTGTCACCTGACCAGCGGCGCACACCGCACGGCGGCGCTAATGGCTGGGGCTGTTGTCCGGGGGTGGAAGGGGAGGCTAAGTTGGGGAGCAGGCCAACTAGAGAGACCCAGGCCACAACAAAACACCCTCGCGCGCTGTCCTCCTTCCACACCCACATCGATCGGACAGAGACAGACGGGTAGCGTTTGCGCCGCCGTGTGTCCCCGGCCGGGCAGGGAGAGTACGAAAATGACCGACGCCGCCGCCGCCGTACACGCAGCGCACGCGATCGAGTACTCGTCATTGTAGACCCGGCGCGCCCGCTCTTACAAAATAAAAACAAAACAAGAGTACACGACAAAGCTGTTTGCAGAGCAGATGCACGGCGCGCTAAAGGTTTGGTTGGTCAGCCCCCCTCCTCCTCACCCTCCACCCCTTACCGCAGCACACCTTGCCGAGGAAGAGGTCTTTAACCTCTGCGCGTGGTGTGTGCTCGAGACCATCGTGCCACGATGGTGTAGATTCAATCGCCCAGTCGCACGTACCAAGTAAAGTACGAGAAAGAGAAACGAGGACGATACGAGGAGGAAGCAAAAGTAAGGGAAACGTTAAGAAAAGAAATGCAGGAGACAACAGACTTATATGTGGGCCAGCCGCAGGCAGGCAGGCAGGGCCAGACCGAACTGCAAACAGGGACGAGAGAGGTGTATGCACAGATGTACGCGAGCACGCACACACACTCATACACACGATATATGGCGCCCTAGGGGTGGCGGCGGCGGTGGCGGTGGTGGTGACGGGGAGGGGGGCGGGGGTGATCTCACACACACACGCATGGCGGGACGAGGCGCGAAAGAAAGCGCGCTAGAGACAAAAAGAGAGCCGCTGCAAAGGCACACGGGCAAGGCCTCGTCGCCGCCGCGTACCGAGCTGAAGCGCCGCGGCGTGGCGGGGCGCGGCGAGGCGCACCTGGCCTCTTCCTCCTTTACCGCCCCGGTGTACCATTCAAGGTGTGTATCCAGGTGTCGTCGCCGGCGCTAAAGACTGTGCTGCCGACGCCGGCGCCGCGCCGCCGCCCGGGCGCCTCTGGGGCGTAACCGTTCCGTGAGCTCAACCCTTTGAGCACAAAGGCGGCGCGTCGACGTCGTCCTCTGCCCTCTTACCCCGCGATAGCCTGCGCGCGCGCACCGAGCCACGTTATCACCATCCCGACGAAGAGCACGCCAGCGTAGGCAATGCTCAGACGATACGAACAACGTGTTTTTTTTTTTCCATGCCGGTAAACTTTTTCCCAGAATGGATGATGACGAAGAGGGGTTGAAGGGGGAGGGGAGGGGGGGGCGACCGTTGAGCACCGCGCCGACGCGCCTTGATCGAGGGGGAAGGACGCGCGCGCTGTGTATACCTGGAAAGCAGGCTCTTCATGTGGGCGCGGCGGCGGGAAATAGAGAAGCGCGCGAGACCCGCGAGGTTACGAAAAAAAAGTGGATCGTTTTTCGGCGACTTTAGTAACAATGACCTTATTTGAGGGGGAGAAGGGGATGGGCGGGCAGGCAAGGGGTGACTCGTTACAGTAACCCAGCTCTGATGAAAATAAATTACAACCCACACTGGCTCTGGATAGGACTATACTAGAACTCGCTTCATCATGTTGGTGGTGGTTGGTGGTGGTTGGTGGTGGACACTCACCTGAAGTTGGAGAACCATTTGACGAGCTGCGCCGTGTTGTTCTTGTTGAACTTGATGTCGGGGAAGTACATCTTGAGGACGGCCGAGCTGGGGTACCGCACCCAGAAGAACATGAGCTTGGCCTTCCGGAGGTGCATGGGCGTCAGCGTGGACGAGTGCGGCCCGGAGAGCGACGAGGCTGTAGGGGCACAAGGGAGGCGTTACATTAGCACCAAAAAATAGCAGCAAAAAATACACAACACAGATAGGACATAAAAGCGGAAGGAAAACGGATGCGCGAGGCGGGACTGCGAACGGGGTGACGACGTGAGGCGGGGGGAATCTCAGTCATGCACCGGGGGTCTTCGAGTGAGTGTAAGGCTTCTGTAGACGGACTCGGGGGCGCCATAGGCGGCGCCAGGCGCCAGGCCAGGGTGGGATCGGAGAAGGCGCGGCGGGGCGGGGCGTGGCGGGGCGGGGCATTTCTGCTGCGGTCACCACCCTCCCGCACTACTGTCAATAGCATGGCTCTTAAAGACGCATCCTTTGTCATTTCAATGCGATTAAGCAAACATGTCCAAATGTTAGCGGAAATGTACAGTGCTCGACTGCCTCCTGCCGAAAGGGAGGCGGCGGGGGAATGACCAGGCGAGGAACGTGATGCGGGGCATTCGAGAAGGTGTCGGAGGAGGGGGTGTGGGGGAGGAAGGGCAAGTGATGGTGGTCAATCGGCATGACCACAGGAGGGCCGGAGGGGGGCGTAAGGTATCCGCGGAAGGGGCGGTGGGGCGTTAGAAGCGCCACAACTGCCCCGCTGAGATCCTTGCGCGATGACTGGAGAGAGAGAGGCAACGTTTCCGCCCCGGGCAGGGGTGAAAGGGGGG